CATGGACTCTCCCATAATGCTTGTCATGTATATTTTAACGACCCTCCCTATGCTTAAAGATCTTCCTTAAATATGAGCAACACTTACATGACCCTCCCAAAGAGATATTTTTTCATCCGCTACTCCTCCCCATCCACCACAATGTATAATAAACGGCTGGTCCCTGGTATATAAAATACTGCCAACATTGTATAGCGCTACATAAATCATTCACCTCAAGCGCAATAATTATCCCCCCCCTTTGAAGGGCTATGCATCAGTGTTCTTATCTGTTGCACACTGCTTCAAATTACTTCCCAAGGTATTAAATTTGCTCACAGCTATTCTTAGTGAGTGAGTTTAGTTTTATGCCGCACTCAGCTATATTCCAGCTATTTGGCGGCCACAGCTATTCTTAACTAGCATAAATGACAGCAAAGTACTACTGTCACTGTAAAAAGGTGTTATACAAAATGACCAGAAACAATACCTACACATAATCAGGGCTTGCATTCTGAAAAGCAGGTCCCTGACCATGTGTAATGTAATTCTGGAATTTATTGAGGTGGCAAGACATGAGATAAGTGCACTGTGGTTGGGTCACAACTAACTTAATTTCAAACTCCTCACAAGTACTGTTCAACATGTCCAAGCCAACATATACTGAAGGAAACAAATAAGGTATCACATGAAAGTTCAAGTGTCCCTATATTCTTTACCAGGTTTCTTTGCAAGCTATGTATTGCACTGAGGGGAAATCTGGGAATATAGAAATACTGAGGTCAAGAAGTGTTCCCTCAGTAAGTATATATATATAGAGAGAGAGAGAGAGAGACATACATATATATCCTGCAGGCAACAGGAGTTGCCCTAGCGGCATAACAATCAGGAGCACCAGTCTCACATGTCTGTGTTATTTATCAGTTGGGCCAGACCAATTTTATTTCTTGTTTTTCAGATTTTTGTCGTCAGAAAACCTAAAGGCAGGAGGAAAAAAAAAAAAAAAACCAAAAATCGCCAGTCAAAGTAATATTTCTTTTAAATACTAAAAGTATTTTACCTTTGGCTATTTATGAAGTGTATATGGGGCAAAAAATAATCTAAACAATTTCTTGCACATTAACATTTTTGACCAATAAAAATATTTTGTTTATATTTTTTGAGCGGGGAAAAAATAATTATTTTTCTCATTCTTGAAAAAATATGACCGCTGATCTGTAAAACAAGAAATTAAATTGGTGTGGCCTTATTTGACAAAATATTTATGCAAATTTCAGATCACCAGTGTTGTTTTTAATGAATACATACTTTTGAAAAAAATAATCTTACTTATACTGACTTGTTCCTGTACTGGAGCAACTTTAGAGTAGGACAGTATGGGAAATACAGTATACCTTTTATATTTCATTCCACGAGACAGTACTTTTATGGTATTTAGCTGAATGTATACTGAAGATGCCATGGACAGGACAATATATTCTTCACTTCACAGGAAATAGTTTCCTAACGACAGAGACTTTGTTAAAATAGTCGAGCCAGTTCACCCGATGTCATCACATCTTTCATCATCTGGTCCTTGAGTAGTATACAACAAATCTGATATGTGTGCAAGGGTCATCAACACATTGGGGACATTTCCCTAAAGACAAACATGTCCTTGATTGAGATATAAATAAATGCAAAAACTGGAGTATTTAAAAGTGATGATGGTAAAAAAGCAATTCTTTAAAATCGTTTCAAGAATGCAAGTTTGTAAACTGAATACAACCTTATGTTGATTTCAGCTTTGTTTTGGGCAGTTAACTAAGGCTATACATGCCATTGTTAGTAGTTGTTAGGGGTATAGTACAAATAAAAAATCATGAACATGTGCTTTCATGAAAAGAGCTAAATTTGCCAACTTACAATGAACATTAATTTAGATTTAAATATTTTGGTCTTAATTTGCTATTTAAAATGAATTGTAAGGTCAAGTTCAAAATATTTAGTGAGAGTATAATAATTATTAAACAACTTGTAAACTGCAAAATGTAAAAAGCCAAGACGAATGAATAAGGGAAGAAAAGATCATACCTCTCAAAACATGCACAATAGAACCCCATTATCTTGAACTACGATATGTTGAGTGTTCAGATTTATCGAAGTTACAACACGGTCTCACTAGGTTTGAGATGATTGGGTTGACCAGAATTAACTTTAATGTGAGACAAGTTTGGAATTCAATGAAAATGGATTTCAAATATTATCAGGAGAGGTTGGATTTTCATTCCAAATATAAATATTAAAATTGAGACTATTGGATGAACATATATATATATATGAACCATATGATATGCATTCATGTCACCTATAGTGATTAGCTTGTGTATGATAAATTAGTTATATCAACCCTACGGACATCTATCTACGGAACTTACTCTATTGTACAAACAGGTCTGTCCAATTCATTCAATCAGAGCTGCATTATTACCGACCACTGTAGGTTGTGTACTTAGCTGCTTCATGTTCGATCATTATGCTTTGACACTATGTAAAGAAGAAAAATAACTAATTCTACAGTGCTCAGTTTGATGATAATTTGGAAAAGAAACTTTTTTCTTGAGAAAATATATCATGACAGGATTCTTCAACTTTTTTAAAACCTGGTTTACGAATCTGCTGCCTTAAAAAGATCTAAATGTAAAACAAAAAAAAAGAAAGATGAAAAGCAGTGTTTATTTTTTCAATGTTATGATCAGAAATAAGTAAAGCGTTAAAAAACATGAAAGAAATTAGTACTTAAATTAAATAAGTAAATTATTTAAAAAATTAGCACTGAAACCAGTTGAAAATGTACCTTAAAAGTTCAAAACAAACTGAATTGTGACAAATTACGAGAGGAGAAAAAAAAAGCAATCATGTAAGCATATTTTTTTGACCAACATGAATTTTACGACCAAAAATCAGTAAACCAAATTTGGCCTAACCTTTTACAAGGCAGAGTTCAAATTTAGGGGATCAACGTTTCAATGAGGTTTGTTCAAAAAGTATTAGTGAGGTTTTTGGCTGATTTTAGTAATATCATGGCTGGATACACGAGAAATGTGTTTCCCATGGACCAGGGATTCAAAGAGCAGCACTGTAATTACGAGCCAATTAGAATTCCACAGGTCTCATCCATTACCCATGTATGAACTTCCTGTCGAAGCTTCTAATTTAAGTAATTCAATTACCCCCAATGAAAGCTTCTATTTCTTCAGCAATCAAATCAATACATTCCACATGGATCACTATCTCATCTCACACACTCATAGTATCCTCATTCCGTTAGGAATCCACCAGTTTCCATGACAACACAAAATCCAGGTTCATTCAAACTAGATCCTGATGAGATAATTCCTGTGCTAGAAGGAGCACATACGATATGTCTACACTGATAACAGATCACATATCACGTTTCAAAATCCATTATTTTAAAAAATAGCCTCTGTATGCTACAAAAGACGATTGTAACGAGAAGGCACAACACCAGGTAGGGGTGAACAGGTGTTCATCCTTCTGGTATGTTTGTGAATAGTTGTAGAAGAATTTACACATGTACAGTGGCCACTAGACACATATTAGATCATAGCTTCCTTTTGAATCTCAGTGTTTTGGCTTGTCGAACAGTCTGAACAGTTGGCCTGCTTGTCTGAGTCTGTGACTGCAGCTACGTCTACGCTGCCATTCACTGGGGCAGGAACTGGAGAAGCATCTGGGTTGGAATTGGACTCAGCAGGTTGGACCTCCACGTTAGCATTCTCACTTTGATTAGGGGCATTCACTATGGAAGTGTCATTAGGGGCAGTACTAGGCTTAGCATCCTCTGAGTTGAGGACATTAATGGGAGAATCATCAGGGTTAGACTCTGGCGGTGCTACGTTATTATTTGCTTCTTCTGCTGCCACTACTTCCAGAGCTTGTTGAACTGCTTGGGCAGTTACTTCAGCAGCAATTCTTTTCACGGTTTCATCTTCAGATTCAGCAGCTCCAGTAGGTTCATCCTTGGCTGGCTGTTCTTCTGATGACTCGGGTTTCTCTGATGAACCAAAGGAATCAACAGCACTGCCTAACGAGATCTGTGACTTTTTGTGCAGAGTCGGCGATCCCGGTTTTAACCGTTTCAGTGATGCCGGACAGGAGATCGCCAACACCAGAGCCTTCAGATTCCTGAGGTTTTTGATCTTTGACTGGTGAGTCTGGGATTACGGCAGAGTGGGAAATAATATCTCGTGTTGTGACTGTTGCATCAGAGTTGCGTGTAACTGATATTTGTTTCGGTTTGATGTCATCTGCAAACTGCTCACGATTTTCGATACAGGCTTCGGGTGAGGTGACAGCATCTGATCCGCTAGGAATGGAAGATTCTGTTTGTTGTGATGTCTCAGAAGCAGTGAGAGGAGTGATGTCACCAATCAGAGAGTCGGACTGAGTCTCACCTGATGTGATGGATTCATCCACAGAACCAAGAAGATCATCAACTTCTTTGGACAAATCCTTCTCCCCACTTTCTAAACTGGCTTCAATCTCACCAAGCAAGTCCATACCTCCTGCAGCAACATTCTTAGCACCAGAATCAGCTCCTTCAACTAGCTTGCTCTCAACGTTTTCAGAAGCATCTGTTACTGCAGCTTTCACCTCCTCCCCTGTAGAGTCAGCTTGTTTTGCAACAGCATCACTGGCCTCTGTTGCAGCTGTCACCAACCCTGACTGAATCTCCCCACCAACAGCGCTTGCCTCACTACTGGCCTTATCAACTCCCTCCTCTACTCTCTGAGATGCATCATCAACAAGAGACTCCACATTCTCCTTCTGGGCAGCAAGCTCAGCCTCCACACTTCCAGCAGCCTCCTTGGCCTTTTCACTCTGTGTTTGGACTTCATCAGTTACAGCATCCTTCGTTGCAGCGACACTTCCACCAAATCCGACAACAGCTGCTACAGCTCCTGCTTTCATTTCCTCTCCCTGCTTGCTCACCTCATCAACTTTCTTTTCAGCTGATTCTTTAGCTTCTGTGACTCCTGCTTCTACTTCACTTGCCTTTTCAGTTACTCCAGTGACAACGCTATCCTTTGCACTGACAACAGAATCCTTGGCTGAATCAACAGCAGAACTGGCTTCAGCTGTGGCAGCAGCCAGACCAGCTTCAAGCTCTTGTTTCTTCCTCTCCAGTTCTTCCTTTGGCTTTGTTTGCCTGTTCTTCCACTGACTCCTTGGCAGACTGTGCTGCAGTTTCAGCTTGTGAGACAGCTGAAGAAATACCAGCCTCTGCCTCCTGTTTCTTACTTTCAATTTCAGCTGCAGCAGCAGTTTTAGCTGTCTCAGCTTTCCCCTTAATATCATCAGCTGTTGCTGAGATTCCAGCAACAACTTCATCTTTCTTGGACTTAGCCTCCTCAGCTGCTGAACCGATCTTGTTCTTAGCATCAGCTGCTGCTGCTGACACTGATCCTTCAAGTTCCTCTTTCTTGGCCTCAGCATCTGCCTTCAAAGACTCCACCTTGTTACCGACATCCTCTGCAGCCTGTTCTGCCCGCTGCTCAGCGGACTCTTTAGCAGCCACAACAGATGCCTTGGTGGAGTCAACACTATCACTGACACTCTTGGCTGCCTTGTTAGCTTCACTCTCAACCTGCTCCTTGGCTGAAGTGACCTTGCTTTCAGCAGATTCTTTGGCAGCTACAGCTGCAGCTTTGGCTGAATCAGCAGCTGCATTGGCTGAATCTTGGGTTTCCTTAACTTTATTATCAACACTTTCTTTTGCCTCAGCAACTTTGGCTGCAGCAGCATCTTTTGTGGAATCAACTGTCTTGCCAATTCCTGCCACTGTTCCAGAGATGCCAGAGGAAGCTTCATCCTTCTTTGAAGCAACGGAATCCTCCATTTTCTTCTTGGCATCCTCAGCCTCGTTTACCTTATCATCCACACTGCTCTTGACCCCACCAATAGCACTGGAGAATCCTGATGACAAGTTCTGACCAATCTCCCCCGCCTTTGTAACAACGGTCTCCTTCACCTCTTCAGCCTTGGTAGTAACTGTCTCCTTCACCTCCTCTGTCTTAGCCTCAGCTTCCTTCTTCTTCTCATCAATCTCCTTCTCAGCCATGTCCTTCAGCTGGCTACCAGTGTTAGAAATAAGGTCGGTAGCTCCAGCCAAGAAGCCTCCACCTTCAGCAGGTTTCGAGGACTGGTCGTCGCTAATGACAATTGATGGTTTCGTGGCGTCGCTCTGAGCGGCATCTGCTGTTGGTTCCTCTGGTTTTTTCTTCTCGTACATGCTGCCGTCTTCCATGGCCTCTTTCTTTGCCTGCCTGGAGGCCCCCATGGAACAGAAGTTTCCCATACTGGAGTCAGGGTTCGGGACAACAGAGATGTGCTGCTACTGCCTTGGGCTTGTGATTCTACTTGAGATGATGGTGATAGTTTGGGCTTTGTTTACCTGAAACACAGAAAAACAATCATGAGTGACTTTGTCAAATTAACACATTCTTCATTCAAGGAAATGATACAGTGTTCAAAATTAGCATTAGGTCAAATGAGCTTTAACTGCTTTCAAGATTATTCAGTTTTGATAGCAATGTGTATGTATGTTGGTGTGGCTGCTCGTTCTTGTTCCGACTGCCAGTTTTAGAGTGCTAGCCCACTGAGATACCATGCCACAGTACAAGGACACCCCATCAGGACACAGTACAATGACAACAAGCTGACAAGTCCTTGTTGCATATCCTTAAATCTGAGTGAGTCAGTGAGTAGTTTTATGCCACTTTTAGCAATATTCCAGCAATATCACAGCGGGAGACTCCAGAAATGGGCTTCACATATTGTACCCATGTGGGAAATCGAACCCAGGTCTTAGGTGTGACAAGCCAACATTTTAACAACAGGGAGGGCAAGAACAAGCTTGTTTTTGCTGGGAACTGAGCCAGCCACCAACTGTATTGTGGTCAAACACCCTTTCACTGATGTTTGCAAAACTCTAGTCCCTTTCATCATGTGAGATGATGGCCCCCTGTCACATGAACATACAAATTAAAAAAGGTCCCTGAAGCAAATACTATAGGAGCAAATCTCAAGATCTCCAAGAGCCCCTAACTTTGAACACTGTGACATCAGGAAAACATCATGTAAGTAACCGCTGATACATTTTCATTATTTTGATACTGCTGAGCATTTTTTTAAATTATTCAACAAAATCAAAGCATTAAAACATGTAATTTCAGCATTATTTGCAATATTCCCGCAATATCATACAAAAATGGACATCAAAAGTGGGCTTCATATATAATGATCAGGTGGGAACTAAACCTAGATCACCGGCTGAACTAGCAAACACTTTAACCACTAGGCTACCCTACTGCCCCAAAATGAAAGGACGGCCGTTACAATGAACAACATTCTAAAGCAACACTGAAACTATTGTCAACTTGAGCACAGGATAGAAAGTCTCTGTTAATCTCAAACCACAAATCTCTTTCATGTGATACACTGCCAGTAGAGTGCTGAATTATAAATAAAATATACAAAATTAGTTGGAACATAAGACGTCCGTCAAAATTGACACTTTTTCCAACAAAGCAGGAAAACTTCCAATCATTTGAGGCTGGCTTATAGCTAGAGTATTGCTGAGCGTGGCAATAAACAGCAAACAAAGCACGTAAATCATTTTCCCCCGACAGTCATCATCAATATGGACAATTTCTTATACAAATTCAATCTTTCTAAAAGCTTTTGCCAGCAACCAGTAGAAAAGATTAAAACAGAATAATTACAACTGTCACATCAAACTAAAATAACTTTCACAAGGCTTTATCGTCAATACTGAGACTATTTAAATCACACAATGCCTTGACAGCTGGAGTCTGAAGCAAAGACTCCCTCTGCTGTCATGCAAAAATAAAGCCATTGTCTTTGACAACATCGGCAGCAACAGCATGCAACACCAACCACTATGACCCTGACTCCAACCAAACACCAACAAATCCACAGAAAAGAAACACCAGTCCACACCTTCAGAAAGTTCCCTGTTAGTGGTCGCTGGTATGCAAGTCAAGATGTCTAACCGAACCACGACAACTGTTGTGTATAGAGGTCTGTATAGCAGCACAACAGTAATGTGAGGCCTGTGTATGGCCGGACACAAGGGGCCACCAAGGAAAGTGACAAATATAGGTTCCTCTAAAGAAAGAATTGATTCATGGAAAGCGATAAATGCCATGTTATTATTCCTGTGTTGAAGCGAATCAATACGTGCATGCAACGTGGCTAGTTTAAATGAGTAGTGTGGTGGTACACAAGGAATATTCGCGGGATTATAAAACCTTTCGCCTACCCATTGGTTTCACAATAACTAATTATCAGCCAGCCCAAGAAAAATGATTTAGCATAGGATAAATACACATATTCTTCAATCTTTAGTTAGGGTTAGGGAAAGTTGCCCTGAAACAACTCAGCACTTGGAACCTTGAATAAAAGTACTGACTGACTGACTGAGTTTAGTTTTACGCCGCTTTTAGCAATATTCCAGCAATATCACGGCGGGGGACACCAGAAATGGGCTTAACACATTGTGCCCATGTGGGGAATCGAACCCGGGTCTTGGGCATGACGAGCCAACGCTTTAACCACTAGGCTACCCCACCGCCCCTTGAATAAAAGTAATGGCTAACATATTGTATAGTGTCTCCGGAATAATACACACATATTCTTCAATCTTTAGTTAGGGTTAGGGAAAGTTACCCTAAAACAACTCAGCACTTGGAACCTTGAATAAAAGTAATGGCTAACATATTGTATAGTGTCTCCGGAATAATACACATATATTCTTCAATCTTTAGTTAGGGTTAGGGAAAGTTACCCTAAAACAACTCAGCACTTGGAACCTTGAATAAAAGTAATGGCTAACATATTGTATAGTGTCTCCGGAATAATACTTGGTAAAAGTTCCACTTGCAGTTGTGCAATTACTAATGGTGATTGGTTAGCTGTAGAATTGGTCATTATAGCTTTTGGGTTTTTCTTTGCTAGGAAAGGTGAAATAAACATGAAATAATAATTAACCAGGTTATTTAAAGCCGTTTATTTGGATCTATTTCCTTTAACATGATCTGATGGCCTGAATCTATCACAGCATTGACAACATTTTTATTTCCTGAGTGGTCAATAATTGTGATTGAAATCTGAGTGTTTTCTCTGCTGATTTGTACTGTTCACGATATTCCTGGATGTGATTTATAATGGGGTTCAACACCGAGTTCAATGACAATAGTAGTCTGTGTTAGTGATTAGTGTTAGTTTGTGTGTGTTAGTGTTTGTGTGTGTGTGTCAGCTACTGAGTATTTGAATGTGTCATAGTGTTAGTGTGCTAGTGCATTAGTGTGTGTGTGTGATAGTGTTTGTGTCAGCTACTAAGTATTTGAATGTGTCATAGTGTTGGTGTGCTAGTGCATTAATGTGTGTGTGTGTGTGTGTGAGAGAGAGAGAGCTACTAAGTATTTGAATGTGTCATAGTGTTAGTGTGCTAGTGCATTAATGTGTGCGTGCGTGTGTGTGTGTGTTAATGCATTAGCATGTTAGTCTGCATGTGCATATTAGGTTTAACTGTGACTGCATGTAATCATGTTTTGTGTGTGAAAGTGTGTGAATGTGTATGCATGAGTGGTAGGTGTGTACGTGCATGTGTGTACTGTGTGTGTGTGCATGTCAGTGAATGCATGTGTGTGTGTGCTTTATCCCTTATTTTTAACAATCATATGCTGATTTAGTAGTAAAATAATAATGACTCACACACTGTATTTCAGGGTAGGTATTTTTGTTGGCATATTTCCCGCCCACTCAGTTCAAAGTTGAACCCCTCTTTTATAAAAGCCTTGATCCATCCTGCAACCTTGCATCTAATCTGTCTGTTACATAACAACATAATATTAATCAGATCATATTTTGGAGTTGGAGTCAATTTAAGCAGGATATGGGGACTTTACTCCATCTTTTATCATGGCCGACAGTAACTTGATAACATCTTGGTAACCTAGCAATACCAAAGGACAAACATCCTTTCAATATTTCCAGGGTGATTTTATCCAGAAAATTATTGAAAGGGACACATCAGTGGCTTCCGGGTGTTTCTTGGATGGACAATCAGAAAATTAGACCCAGTTAAACAGCAATCACACGAAATCTTGCCGGTCCTAAAATACATGCACTATCAAAAAGATAACAATCATATATGTTGTAACGGGAAGTGTCTCTTTCCTTCTATATTATGCCACTGAAAATTTATCAGGAATTAGTTATTGTAACCACTATTTAATAGTTCCTGATTCAAAATGTTCAATCTCTGCATCAAAATGATTCTCCTATTAAATTTAACTTAATCCTGAATTATTGAAAAATAATTTCAGATTTCATATCTAATTTTGATAGATTAATCGATAAATATAGTCTTAACAACCCATCACCAAAGCTGGGTTCAATCCACCTATCAATTGACCCATTACATTCTACTTGAGCTCACAATGGTAGTGATTCTGAAGCTCAAACCAACTTGAATAGCAGGCAAATCCTGCAGCAAGGGGAAATCCAAGGTAGGACCAGGCATTGTGCAGTTGTGAGTTGAACAGCTCTCTGTACAGCTAATTGCAGTACCTATGCCCCCTGATCTGGGAAAGACATCCACACTTACCTAATTACAGCCTTTAACTAACCACTCCCAAAACATGAACTCATTGAATAGATTGGTATGACAGGCACTTCTCAAGACAACATCCTCAACACCAGCTTCTCCTCACACCTCCTGACATCACTAACAACACCAATGAGTGAGTGAGTGAGTTTAGTTTTACACCGCACTCAGCAATATTCCAGCTATATGGCAGCGGTCTGTAAATGATCGAGTCTGGACCAGACAATCCAGTGATCAACGGCATGAGCATCGATCTGCGCAATTGGGAACCGATGAGATGTGTCAACCAAGTCAATAAGCCTGACCACCTCGTCGCCTCTTAGGACAAGCATGGGTTACTGAAGATCAATATTCTAACCCGGACCTTCACGGGTTGACAACACCAATGACTAACTGACTGAATGTTCACCATCAACAACCAGCACCAATGACAGCAGTTTTGACATAGGCAGGAGTCATGTCTATGATCTGTAATCCACTAATGGCTATCAACATCACTCTCAACTGACTGACTGACTGACTGAGTTTGGTTTTACACCGCTTTTAGCAATATTCCAGCAATATCATGGCGGGGGACACCAGAAAAGGGCTTCAATCATTGTACCCATGTGGGGATTCGAACCCGGTCTTCGGCGGACGGCTTTAACCATTTGGCTACCCCACCGCCCCATCACTCTCAACACTACTGATGCCTCAATCCACCAATGACAGCAGTTTTCACGTCATGATCCATTTAGTGACACCAGCATTGATATATCATG